TTCTTCTTCTTCTTCTTCTTCTTCTTCTTCTTCTTCTTCTTCTTCTTTTTAAATTAATGTAAGTCTACACTGTCTGGACCAAGCCATTTTAGCACAACTTCTGACTTTCTTTCTGGTCAACGAAAATACCCACTGACCCAGACACCTTCATCAAACAAAACAAACAAACAAACAAACAAACAAAAACCCAAAACCTCGGGGTGGGTGATTTGACTGTGAACCTTGGGACCTTGTGTCTGTCAACCCCTTCCTAGTCTCTAAGGTAGACCTTTCATTGCAGGGAGCAAGGAGCACGCTCAGAGCGAGCAGCGTTCAAATAAGCCCAGAAAGACTCAAAAGACATTGAACAAGCTCTGAGAAAATACTGCTATTCCTTTCCACAAAGGGAACACCTGCAAGGATACATACCTTGTATCTTTTCAGGGAAAGCAGCTCCGGTAAGTTAAACTATCTGGGACCCTACTGGTTGCTACAGCAAGTGAGATGGGGAAGAGCGGGCCCTCAGCACCTACCATTGATGTTGGCAAAGAGCTGGACCTCTTCCAGGGTGTCCAGCTGCTTCTCGGGACAGCTGGATACACAGATGGCGGTGGGACCAAGCCCCCTATCCTTGACTTCCAGATGGCAGGCATTCATAAAGAACACATGTCTAAAGACGGAGGAAATAAAAGCATGGCTCAGAGTGCTGACTCTCACGGCTTGAACTGGAGGCTTCGAAAACTTATCGCATACCACCACATGGGGGACTGACTAAGGCAAACCCTTTTGGCTGAATGCTTCCGAGTAACTGAACATTTACTATACCATCTTGTGAGCCATACTCAAATGAGAACGAACATTTTCTTCCCTAGGCTCTGCATCCGGGAAATGGGCTGGGGGACTTAGCCTAGAAGTCACCAAGGAAGGGAAGGGATGATTAAGCTGCCCATGGTGGACAAGAAACTGACACACAGATGACTTAATGGACTTCTCCAACATGTTCAAATATGTTTCAGAGAACGGCAGGACTCGGGGAAGCAACAGGTGGAAAGGAAGGGAACTGAAGTTGAAGATTTAAGGCAGCCTAAGTGCTAGGACAGCCAGGAGACCTTTCCTGCAGCTGCAGAGCCGCCAAGCTGGCTAGGTCATATGCTGTCAGTGGCAGCTGGGCTCCCAATCCAAGGCTGACACAGGCTGCTAATGTCATGGGAATGCAGGGGAAGAGACCTGGGGGCTGACTGTGAGGGAGCATGTAGCCATGAGGTCTAAAGACCATTCTCCCTCCTCTGGGGATGGGAGGAAGGGAGTTTGTGGGAAATGGTTGGGCAGGCTTCCTAGGTGAATGACACACGGAGACTTTATTTTGTTTAAAAATGTAAAATTCCATTAAAAATATGCATCTCCGTTGACTCCTTAAATTACTTCTAGCACACAGTTCAGGACACTAGGGACCCAGATGGTTCTGTACATCTGTCCCCATCACCAGCCTTCGGAAACTGTTCCAACAGACAAGAGCTCCTCATTCCCCCTCCTTGCCCAACCCAGGAAACCACCAGTTTGCTCCCCACCTCAAAGCGGAATGCACACTACCTGAGTGTGAGACATTACCATGGGAACAAGGAACACCGGCCAAACCTTGATTCACGCAGCGTCTCAGTGGGGCGTTAGAGCAGCCTGGAAGGCAGGCAGAATTCCCAGTTTTGAAAGATGAAAACTGGGCTCAGAGAGGCTAACGACTCTGCCCCAGGTCACAGAGCTGAGAAGTAGAGGAGGCTGTTTCTACAGCTCCCTCTGTCTTAAGAAGGGCCAAGTGAGTTTCAGATAGGAAAAGCCGCCAGGCTCTTAAAGGAATGCAAAGTTTTGAAACACAAAGCGCCTCTGCAGGCTGGAGACCTAATTCCAAAGACTTACTTTTTCAGAGTCATGTCCTGCCCTGAGAGGGGGGCCCCTTCCACTGGGGAGTTCCTCTTGCCACACACATTCCCGAAGCTGTCATAGCCGAACAAGAGTCTTCCTGCTGCCCCGGCCACCGCCGAGTAGCCCATGATGAAAACCTGGCAAAACCCAAGGACCTGTGACTGCCCGGCCGCAGGGTGGAAACCACAGCCCCCACATCCCTGAAGACGCTGGTGAGGGGCCTAGGGCTCCGAACCTCCCCCCCTCCACTGCCCTCAGCAGCAAATGCACCCACCCAGGTAGGGTGCAGCTTCCTGAACGCTGGTGTGACAGGTGAGCAGGAAGGGCGAGCTAACACACTTGGATTTTCCTCCTCTTTGTCTTCTTCAGGAGGCTGCTACTTTGTGATTTGATTTTTTTTTTTTTTTTTCAGCCAAAGTTGATTGGGATAATTTCATTTTCTCCCTTTGGCATGTCTGGGTTATCTAAGTGCATCAAGGCTGTGCTAAACACATTTTCCTGTGTGTGTGTGTTTGTGTGTGTGTGTGTGTGTGTGTGTGTGCGCGCGCGCGCAGGTGCAGGTGCAGGTGCACACGTGAGTATGTGTGGAGGTCAGGGGACGATGTTGGCTATTGATCTGCAGACAAGGCCCACTTTGGTTTTTTGAGACACAGTCTCCCCCTGGCTTGAAACTCAGCAAGAAGGCTAGGCTGGCTAGCCAGTGAGCACCAAGGATCCGTGTCTCTCCACCTCTGATCAAATTCAGATCCTCTTACCAGCAATGTCAACACCTACTGCCTGAGCTACCAAGGTTTTCTTTCTTTCTTTCTTTCTTTCTTTCTTTCTTTCTTTCTTTCTTTCTTTCTTCCTTCCTTCCTTCCTTCCTTCCTTTCTTTCTTTCTTTCTTTCCTACCTTCTTTCCTTCCTACTTTCTTTCCTTCCTTCTTTCTTTCTTTCTTTCTTTCTTTCTTTCTTTCTTTCTTTCTTTC